AAGTTCTATATTATTCGCCATCAGAAAAACATTAAATGAAAACATTTAATATTTCTCTTTCATTTTGAAAATAACCAGGAAGATAATCATCTGTTATTATACGACTTTCAGAGTTTTGACTTCTGTGAGAAATCAAAGGGTGCTTAAATCTTTTATGCCGAGCAAGAAAGACTATAGTAGGAAAATATCGATGACAAATAGGACAGACTAGTTGTGAATAGAGTTCAGAAGGGATAGAGAAGCAATGTTGATCAGAGCCTAGAAGCTTTAATTTGTCCATATACTGAAGGATGTGAATAGGATTAAGAAAGTGGCCATCCTGGCCTTTGGTAACAGGTAGTAAAAATCTATTATTTTCAGATAATAAGGCGGCGGCCTCTTTAGCTCTCTATTTAAAACAACAATTGATGTCATTACACTTTCTAACATCCAAGGAGTAATGACATATTTGGCAATAGTTTTCTATTCAGCTCCAAGATACATCTGAAACTTCACTAAAGGGGTTAATCTGTTTATCAACATATTTAACAAATACTTCTTCGCCATGGATACGATCTTGTCGCCAAATATCACATAATTTTTTGTCAGCATACTGAAAATTTTGCTTCGCTAGATCTATATCATTGATACTACCACTAGAATTAAGATGAGAACCAAAATAATCAATAGGTAGAACAATACCTGCTAACTTTCCTGAAAGTGTAGACATACTACGCTCTACAAGATTGTAAGCAGATTGTCTAAAAGCGTGAGTTCTGATAGTGAAATAATCCAAATTTAATTCTATAAATAATTTACAATATTCTTTTATATTTTTTAGGTGCCTGGGGTTTTCATCGGGGCTGCTGTCAACAAGGAAAACTAAAATTGGTTTAAACTCATTTTCAAGTTTTAACTTACTATTTAAAACAGGATTTTTCATTATTAGTATTAGGTCGACCATATGAATTAAGGAGGAAGCTTTAAATAACCATTGTGAGCGGATAAAAATTGACAATTAGCCATTATGTAATAAATCGGTTAAATTTTTGAGTCAATCATAAGGTAAACTGAAGGAATTGGTTTTTGCTTGCTTCCTTTGAGAAAATCATGATCAGGTATTTCAACTAGTTCACAGGCTGTTTGAATAGTTTTAAATGTTCTTCCAACCACTGGTATCCTAAGTAGAACTTTCACCTTATCATCCTGTGATATAATCACAGAATAAGAGGCGAAAGCATTAGCAAATTGTTTTGCACTTTTAACTATTTGCAAATAGTAGTGACTATCTACATGTTCAGGCATCTTATTTCTAAATACTAAACTAACTTGAATTGCCATAGGGTGATGATGTCTTTTGGCATTTAGAGAGTTAATTCGCTTGGGCCATGTGTATATATATAAGCAAGTACGTGACATATAAGTTTGATATCTTTCTTCCATTGCTGTTTTTAGGTGCGAAATAGTACGCACTTTAATAAATTCCTTTCATCTTTTTTTAGCGATACTACCAAATTCAATATATAAATGCATCTGCTCTGGAAGATCAGGATTCAAAAGAAGAAAAGATGGTCACCTGAGTGAATCGTATCTGATAAGTTCTCTCTTATTTTCTAAAGTTTCATGTTTTTTTTCTTGGCTTTTAGCTTGCGCAGCTGCATGTTGCTTTAACTTTTTTTTTTTTTTTTCAGCTTCAATTTCCTGGTTCATTTCAACGATTTGAGTCAAAAAATCGTGACATCATTTAGGGTCACATGCAATATTATATAATGCATTTAATTCATCAAGCCATTCTTCAGCTTGTTTTTGTTTAGCTAAAGAACTTTTCTGGGCAGTTGCATTATAGTGCGGTTTCTCAGTTTCTATTGCAGAAGAGAAACTAATTTCATCTAATATAGCTGAATGTGATGTGGATGATATGAAGCTAATTCTATCTGATGTAACTGATGGTGGTATAGATGATGGTGAACTGGTTTTATTTAATCTAGCTGATTGCGATGTAGACAAAAAAGATACATATTGAAGAGGTTGAACTGAAGTTTGCAAATAATCATTTATTTGATTTGTTATGATACTTTTATCTAAGTTTTTTACAGCATTCTATTCTTCTTGAGCTTTTGCAAAGATATCTTGTTTTTTAGGAGACAGGTTTCTTATAGAAATGGCTATGCAATAAGCATACACATTGCAAAAATTTTCATACAAGGTACAAGGATTTTTGAATATGTATTTTTTATCAAATTGTAGAGTACTTAAAAATGTTTGCATTTTTTTTTTGACCTTAATGAGTTCTTCTGATATTTATATGTAATTTGGTTATTGTTAACTCTTTCAGATAGATAGAAGAGTTTGGCCACATACCATTAGGGCCGTTGGCGTTAAAAGCAAAACTAGCTAACAAAATTAGCTAGTAAAATTTGCAAAAATTTGCAATTACAAACGAAGTTACGTATAATTTTAAAATCATATTTTTGGCAAGTTTTTCTATCATTTAGTGAGTTCTTTTATTATTTTGGTGAGTTCTTTTATCATTTCGGTACATTTTCTAGTCATCAAAATATACATGATTACTCATATATATAAAGAAAAGGTAACAATCACATGTTTTTGCAAAGGTAGTATCTTAGCAAGAACAATGTTGCTAAGTACGTATATATACAGCTATTCTGCAAAAAAAATAGAACTATTTTAGATACTACTAAAATCTGTGGCTCTGCATACTGTACAGCACTGCATACAGTATCCTCTTTGACAAAGTACCTTCTTTAAATAGTATTAAAGTATTATTCAATTGGAGGTATGTACGTACGTACAGTGCAGGAAGTCTTAAAATCTCAATTACTTTAAATAGAGTAAAGGTCAACTAACTCATAGAAAGTGATCTAAATTTCATTCTTATGCATAGAATAACTACTCTTAAGTACAGATTATTATTCTTTGGCATATTATCTTTATGCAAAGAGATTCTAAACTATTTAGTTAGATCGATAATTTATTTTTAATATGTCACTAGTTTATGCATTATTTCTATATAGAGAGATTGAGGTCTTTAAATTTCTTGCACCGTACATTGTTATGAACCAAGGGAGAGGCTTTAATACTTTAGTGTCGCTTTAGCTACTGGGTTGTAAGTATAAAGCATTAAGTATCAACAAGAAGAATATAATTTTAATATGTACATGCAAAACAAAGAATCTGTTTAAATATACAAGAGCGATATATTCCAATGTGCAATAGCAAGAAAATATATCCCAAGGGTAACCAGTTACAAGAATGAATCTCTCTTATTTAGTGTTCTATAACTCTATATATATACTATCTATTAGACTCAAATTAGCTATCGCTATTATGCAAACTATAGTAATGAATATAAAAATTTAACTATTACATAATTACAAGATAAGCTATTATGATATTATACGAGAAGTATATATACACACTAGCATTTTCGGTATGCAGCATTGTACTTCAAATTCCTGAGCATAATCACACAATTGGATGTTTGTATGTATACATATATGTGTGCTACTTATCGTTTCCAAATTCAATCATACACTTTGCAAACTTTTCTTGATCTCTGAATTTATAGAGTATGCTTAAGAATACATATTGTTACAAGAAACTCAGCTAAATATTTACAATCAGCATTATTATCTGATTTAAATAATCATTTTTAAAGAGCAAATAAGGATAGCTAACATATTACAATAGTAGGATTTTGATCATTACAATAGTAGGTATTTATTTTTATTTTATGTATTACTTGCTGAGAGAATTATTTAAAAGGTGACTTTTTCAATTCTGATTCTGTTAGATTTATCATCCAAGTATTTATCGTTGTTTGCAAAATAATGTGTCTTTGATCAAATTTTGCAGATCGCAGCTTATACATTTGATTGTTGCAATTGTACGAAGCTGTTTTTGATGTTTTTGGATATATAAGTGTTATCTTGAGGATATGGGCATAGTAAGTTATAAATTATAAAAATATTTTAAGAAAATCATACTACAATAGCACAATTGAATGATAAAGTGTGAATTGCAAAATTTGATCAAAGATGCAACATTTTGCAAATAGCAATAATGAAATACCTGATAAAAAATCAGCCAAATGATTTTTCAGTGAGTCATTTAAGTTTGTGAACATCTCAGGTTGAATACAGAAATATGAACTTCAAACGTCCTCATTCACAAACAATTAGAAAAAAAATTTTAAAGAACTTATCAGTTAGAAATTTTGCTAAATATTTAGGTGTTAGCAAATTTTTTATAGGTCGGCTTTCAACACAGATATATTGAAAACTTCTGGAACAAATTTTTTATCAAAAACTTAGATTGTTGGAATCTTGAGTCATATTTTTAAACCAGTTGACAAATCTTAACCATATCTAACTTTTTTTAATATTCAAATTTTTAAAGTAATAAAAACCTATGTTATGGTAAGGTTGTGACTGAAATTAGAGCTTATCTTATACTAAAATTTATGATGAATTTTTTTTGTTAGTGCATAGTAGGTGGTTTCATAGAGAGTCAATTATTAGAAAAGATCTGTTTGGTGTATCTGCAACAATCTTTCATGGTTTTACTAGGGTGCTGTTCATTAAATGCCAGACACAGAACTATTAAAACATAGTGCTAGGTACAGGTCTAGGCAGAATCTTAATAAGTATCTACTCGTATATCTTTGTTATAAAAGTCTATTTTATATCCGGAACCACTTTATAGTTTTTTAATATCTATTGATTAGTAAGAACAACCTTTTTTATAAATTCTGCACAAACAAAGCATACCAAGCATGGTAAGCTAGTATTCAAATTAAAGAATTATCTGTAAAAAATGTATTATAAGCAGGAGTTTTAAAAACAGCTATAATAATAAGTTATTTTATCTGTCTGCCTGTATATTTAGATATAGCAAAACTTCAGAGTCTCAGATTTGAGATGATTCAACATGTATATTAAATATAGCAATAGTTAATAATCTAAATTTTATTAGTTTATTATGATATTACGTTTTAAGAAAAACTTTTTCTAAAATATTTATTTTACTATAAAGCCAATTTGAATTAGAATATATAATGTGTATGTCTTTTTTTGTCTATTATATATGTATGTATATTTTACATACAAATAAATATTTTTGCGATTTTTTTTGACATTGTATATACATTGCTAATTTAAATCTTAATTTGATACAACTTAATTTTGGATTAATATTTATTCTAATTTTATACATATTTAATATATATATATATATATAATATAAAATTTAATTGGCTATTAGGTGAGAGGGGTGGGGTGGGTTTAACCAATTTATTAGTAAACTCTAATCAGCTGATTTCTGGAAGCCCCTTAGAATAGTGTAGTAGTTTAGAATTGTGTAGTAGTATGTAGTAATGAATAGTTGTATTACCTAGGACTGGTAGATTGTTTTTTCTTTTCTTAGTTTGGTGGTGACTATGAGATTGAACTTCCCTAATCACCCAAATCACAATACAAACCAAATAACTATTGTACAAAATGGAGAATAGCCAATTCAAAGAAACATTAGTTCAAATATTTAAGAATATCCTCAGAGAAGTTAAAGAAGAGAAAGTAAAAGCTATTTACTATTACGCTAGCAATAAAAAAGAATATTACGCACAAGTTTCTGAAGAAAAGCCCGAACAATTAATCTAAGAACAACCAAAAAGAGTAGACAATGTGATCTTGGAAGATCAATGTGAAAGATGGATGGAGAAAGTGAACCAATTCTAAACAACAACTAAAACCTCATATGTCAGTACATTCACTCCCCAAACTATTGATCCAATGCCCGAAACTGCTGTAAGACCATACTAATGAGTTCAAGAAATCTATGTAGCCATGATAATTGAAGAGTCTGAGGAAAAGAAATTTAATACTTCAGGCGAAAAGAAAATAATTAAACTTTATCAAAAATCATCCAATTCAGATCGTAATAGTGGAAAGGCAGATATAGAACATGCCAATGAAACAATTAGTCTTAATAACTATGAGGAATTCAGTAGTCCCCAGAAATCTGCTGTTGTAGATTGTGTTGACAAAAGAACCAACCTGGAACCTTGTTTGCCAAATGGGTTTGAAGTTGAAAAAAAGAAGCTCAAACCATTTGAATGGTACCCAAACAAAGCTGAAAATGACAGTTTGAAAGTATGTGTTTTTGGACTTTGCTATCAAAAAGGAATTGGCATTGAAAAGAATGAAAATAAAGCATTCAAATGATATTTGAAATCTACTAAAGAAGGCAATTCAGAAGGACAAAGTAATCTTGGATGGCGCTACCATTGTGATATACAAACCAGTAAGGATACAGCCCAAAAGATTGTTGTTAAGGTAATAGAAGCCCTACTGCAACTGAAGAGTATGTTGCCAGTTAAACTTGAGGAATATGAAAAATTAAGTAGACAAAGGCAGCAAAAATTAAAGTATAATGGTACTACAAAGCAATATAGAAAAGTATTCTACATTTATGCACACCTAATGATCAGAGATCATCTCACCCCAACGAAGCTAAACTTTTATAATGCTATCTATTTATTCTGATTTTATGGCAATAATTTGGTCACAGATCTTCCCTGGGAACTACTACTGCTGTGAAAGTGGATCATCAAAGAATCTCAACAAGAAATCATTTGCTGAGAATTTATAAAGGGTTTAGCATTGATCCTGAAACAGAAGAAAAATTGTTAGTGCCGAATATGCAAAGAATTTTTTTACTCAGAATTTCTAAAACCATAATATTTAGAGTTCTAAGTTAAAAAAAAAATTTTTTTAAAAAAAGAAAAAAAAAATTTTTTTAAGTAAAAACTTACCATGAATGCTTTCAAAAATTCTCAAAGCCAATGTTAAGCTAAATTCGAACCAGGTTGACAGTGTCCTGATACAGTATTAATACAAGTTCAAAGCAAAGCAGCATAAAAATAAGAATCTGTAGAGAAATAGATATGACGAAAGTGAAGGATGGTCACGACAGTGGTGTGCAAGAATAGGACACATTACATCAGAAAGTGAAAATGGACAGCAAGAAGTAAGGATGCATCCATATCGATGGCAGTTGAGCTATAAGAAGAAGCCCTAGATCGATATCAAAGCATAACTGATTATTGAAGAATTAGGGAACGGAAATAAGGAAGGAAACGTCCGCATTGCCTGCTAGATAAGACTCAAGAGAAGCGCCAGAGAAATATCAAAGTGTATCTACAAGTTAATCAAAACAGCATCAGAATTGAAAAGAATAAAACTGAAGCATGCATAAAAAACAACTTACCCAAAAAACTTTGATCCAGAATAGGAATCTGACGAAAATCCAGTTAGGTTTAGATAGTGGATGGCCTAGCACCTAGACAATTGCAAAGATTTTTAGTTAGATTATTTCTACTTTTATTTTTATCTTTATTTTTATTTTTATTTTTATTCTCTCTTCATTATTAGTTTTTTTTTTGGTTTTTCGTTTGTGCTGATTTTTCTCATAGAACTTGAAATTAAGCTAGAGAGACTGTAAACGGGTAGATTGTTGCTTGTAATAGATTTTTTCATATTTGATAAGGCAGATGCATATTAGATTGAGCAAACTAGGAAGATTTGGCTCATTTTTATGCTAAGGTGGCTCAGGTCGAATTTAGCCAAAATTAGTTAGTATGGAGGAAGTTAAATTTCATGAATTTCGTGAATTTCGTAAATTTTGTGAATTTCGTGAATTTCGCGAATTTTGTGGATTTAGTAGCTTTAGCACTTTTTGAAACTTCCATAGAATGATGGCTTTATCTAGATAATTTATATTGTATAGAGTAACGATGTAAAACTATAAAAGAAGTGCTTATTCACCTTGCAAATAAAATAGCTTTGGAGAGTTGAAAAGCTCTAAGTTAAAGAAATCAGAGTATTTAACTTGTGTTTCACTCTTGCAGTATAAAACCCGGTTGAGTTCGAAGTTCCAAGTTAAAGAAATTAGAGTATTTAACTTGAGAGTAGTAAGTTCTTTAAGTAGAAGCGTTTGATCTACTAATTCGACCCCCCGATAAGTGAAATCCGTAATTACGAAAGAAACTCGTGACCAAATCCCGTGATTCTGCATAAGAAGATCCGTGACATAATCAAGAGCTCTAATCCGACGCTATCGCTAAGGACCCAATTAACCCTGGTTACTCAGACCAAGTCTTTCCACGCCTCGATTGAAGCTTTACCACTACTAAGGGTTTGGTTGTATTAGTTGTAGTGTTCTGGTTAGAGTAGTGTGGTAGTTTAGAATTGTGTGGTAGTGTGTAGTTGTATTACCTAGGACCGGTAGATCGTTTTTCCCTTTCTCAACGTACGTACGTACGTACGTAGGTCATTTTTTGCTTGTTTGATCAACAACAATGGGCTATAAATGATTATCTCTTCTAATTAGCAGTTTCAACTTATCATTGGACCTAAAAGTTTACAAATTTGCTGGACACCATGCACAAATTATTTTCTTAAATTACATACTATTATTAGTTTTACGATAAATATGTAAATTCCGGGCCTATTCTAGGAATGTCTTTCAATGTCTTTTCTAGTTTCATACTGATAGAAATCTTTAACATAAAGATAATTAGTATTTCAATTTTTGACCGATTTTTATCAATTGGATTTGTATTATTTCAGGAAGGTATGAAGGTTTTATTAATATGCACTAATTTTTAAATTTTAAAATGGATAACGGATTAGTACATAGCCAATACATTTACAAGTTATTCTTATATTTTGTAAGTTACCGATAGGGTTAAATTCAATATAGTTTTATAATGCCTTATGATCTAATTGATTTAAAAGTTAATGAGCTTGAAATCATCTGAACAAGTAAAATGCTTTTTCAAGAAAGCCTTAGAAATTAAAGACTTTGCTATATAGATTAATAAAAAAAAAAAAAACCGAAATTTTCGAATGACATTTAATGCAAAACGAAAAATCATTTTTGTATAGCCTTAATAATTTAAGCACTATTGAATTTTTTATACCTTTGAACGAAGTTATTCTGATCGAATTCGATAAAAATTTTTTATTGGCTGATTCCGACCATTTATCATGTGATTTTTCAAATCCGATAACTTCCCAAAACCGATACAGAACCCGTCCACCATGCATACCGGTTTTGTGAGGGCAAACAGTATAATTATACCAAAATTTTATAAAGATTTTTTTTTATTAGAGCATAGAAAGTGATTTCATATTCAAAATTTCGCGTTGTCGATGATTTTTTTTGTTGAAAAAAGTTGACGCATCAAGTGATGGCATCGATCGTTGAAAAAAAATCTGATTGGTGCACCTGCATATCTTAAATCAACTCAATAACAATATGAGTACTGCTAAGAGAAAACCTGTAAATATTATCTAGTAAGATTTAAAGATCTTCTCTTGGGGCACTCATATGAATATTATACGCAACGTATAATACATAGCTGATCAGATTTTTAATGAACAGGTTTTTCCTTGATGGCACTTATATATTAAACTTGTCCCGTGATTCTTTCATAATTTAGTCGAAGATTTATTCAAAATTATTGTTCGTACTCGCTAATTAATTCTTAGTTTGTATCTCAAAATAACGCCTAGGGGGTTATTTCATGATGGCTAGTAATATAAAAAGCCAATTTAAAAACTAATAATAGTATGAAGGAGAATTCCTATTCGTACATTATGTGTATATTTTTATTCTCAAAAATTTATTAATAAAACAGCTTACTTGTTCTAAAAAAAAAAGAAAAAAAATTCCTTGCACAATTTTGGTATAAACTACGACTTTCCCTAAGCTTTAAAATTAACCTTACCTAATATCAAAGGTAATAACATTTATTAGTAAAAATTGTATATGTATTACATGAATGTGCAAATAATTAATCAATACTGTGCACATATACTAACCTTTAATAAGAAATTTTCAATTTCAAAAATCAAAAATAAATTTTCGAGATAAATTAACATAATAAGACCATTACACAATAATTCAATTTGACATCCATACTATTAACTTATTTGCCAAAGATCTCCAGAGATCACGAAGATGCAAAATAAAAAATGGTAATCTTTTTATTAACTCGAGTTACTCAATGGATTTGAAAAGCGCGATAATATAAATTTCTAAGAAAAATTTATTAAAAGGTACAGTACGTAGAAATTTTTCAAAAATTAACAATAATTATAATGGCATCAAAATTTAAAACACTTAATAAAATTGCACTTCTTATTACATTATCGATTCTTTACTTATTATTGCCTTCAGAAGCTTATTTCGTTCCACGATCAGAAGTAAAAGATGGATGCGCGAAATTAGCCAAAAACATTGCATCACCTAGTTATGAAGATGTTAAAGCGTGTTATGAAGGAATCAAGTATGATGATGAACGAGCAAAACAAGTAAATATCATTAGTATAATTTTCAATTGAGAAATGTATGGACGTGTATATATTAATATGAATTATTTTCATAAAAGATGATTGATGTAGTAGACGGAATTATGTCGAATTTTTATGTTTTGTTCGACCAAGCTAAAGAAAAACCAGAAAATGGTTTTAGTTTTGAACCTATAGACTTGAAAAAAGAACTAGATTTATTACGTCACAGGCATTATGAGTCTGATTTTGAATTCATAGTATGTATATTGGTCTTCGGTTGTACAATAAAATGTTCTTCATTCCACTTTTGATATCCGTAAAATACTAAACCGTGGTCTTTTAAATAATTAGACGACAATAAGAAACTTAATTTCACAATTAAAAGATGCTCATACACATTTGGATATTAACTGTTATAGCAAATTTTCATTTTCTCAATCTTTAAGCCTATATTCAATCATAGATAATAATCAGCAGGTAAATGTAACAACTCTATGCGAGTAATGTTAATTATTTCAAAAACTCATTGATAATTACTTTATTTAACGTCTTTATTTAACGTAATAACAGAAAATCAAGGTACATATTCTTTTTATGTTAACACGATGATTAGTATACAAGCATATTATTTTTTTAACTAGTCTTATAACAATTAGATCTTGGAGGACGATTTAGAACCATCAAATAAGGGTTGCGAAGTAATAGAAATAAATGGTCAGGATGCGCTAAAAGTAATCATAGAATTTGCTAATAAGACAGTCGTTGGTTCAAGAGATCTGGGTGTCCGATTTAATTTAGCATTGGCTTCGCTCACTAAACTCTTTGATGACTGGTCTAATGCTGCGCAATCTAATCAATTTGCACATAGATCTGATTTACCAGAAACCCCTAATATTACTTATAAGTTATCTTGTTTTGGAAAACAACGTTCTATGGTCAGAAAATGGAGTGTAGGTTCAAAGGCTATCAATGATTTTAAGGATACAAAAAGTTATTTTAAGCAAAATTGTTTACCTCAAGAAGGTAACCCAAGAGTACGTTCAGGAGGATCATTTGATCTTCGCTTGATTGGTGACATTGGTGTTGCTAGAATTGGTACTTTGTTTCTTCAAGATTTTCAACTAATTAATATAAAAGAAAGTCTTCAATCCTTATCCAACAAGGCTAAAAAGGTATAAAAAAAATTTAGCAAAATAATAATATATAATTTTTGTCACATAAATTAATTTTTACTTTTAATAGCTTGTTATAGATTTATCAAATAATTCAGGTGGTTTTGTTGGTTCGGCCCAGGTAATATGTGCACTCTTACTTAAATCAAATGACTTTTTTCCTGGAGACATAAAGATTACAAATATTACTAAGCCAACATTAAAACCTGGAGGCCTCCTCGATATAAGCGATTCTCTTTCATACCCCTCTGGAAAAAAATTTTCTAGTATAAAAGATTTCATAGGCAACAACTTTATCGAAAGAGGCGGTACAACTTCAAGATATTCTAACAAATTTACCTTTCAACTTGCTAAAGAATTAGCAGATATAATTAAAAATAAGCCGAAACTTCGGTGGACAAAAAACAATACTATAATTTTAACTAATGGATTTTGTGGATCTGCTTGTGCACTAGTATCTCAATGTTTAGCCGAGATAGGACAATTTCCAACTGTCGCTGTTGGTGGTCTCTATAATTCTTCTTTATCATTTTCCTCTTTTGTCGGTGGGGAAGTCTCTTCTTATGATAACTCTACTATTAAAATCAATGGTATCCCTGACTTTCCGTTAGCAGGCCAGCTTCAATTTACTGCAGCTGAGGCATATAGTACTACTCTCAAAAAAAATAAAGTTTTAGACTTCTTATATAGAAATGCTACATATAGACTTCATTACAATGATCAAACTGCTAGGGATCCTAGAAAATTGTGGAATGAGGCTGCTAAATTTTTACATTAATTAAGTACACACAATTTTTGCTTATCATAGAGTAGCAAATATACAATAAAATCAATCTATCAAAGAGTAGCAAATAGGTAATAAATAAATCATAAAGTAAAAATTGGTTTTTTTTTATATTTTAGAAAATATTAATGTATTCCTTTCGCAAGTTTGCTTAATTAATTTAGTGAGATGTGTAGGTATACTTTAGTGAGATGTGTAGGTGTACTATAATAGATTTTATTTTCGAATAAAACATAATGTGTAATTGCAAAATCAATACACTTAAAAAATTATTATTATTTTTTTTTTTACACATTATATCTTAATATCAGACTTTCTTAAATAAATTGTAATAGTTTATATTTGATACAGTGTTAGAAAAACCAAAAACAAATCGATTTAATTTACTATATAGCTAATTATTAACGCTTTATCTTTGTATAATGATACAAGTTATATGTACATATGTTTATGTAGGTTTGGAGATTTAAGCATGTAGATTTATTTTGAAAAAGCAAATCATCTAGATGATATCAAACTATAGAAAAAAACTTCATTATGGGCGCATCACAAGTTTTCGAAGTTTTTATTAGCATTACAATAATTATCAAAAGTTCATGGCGAAAAAATAAGAACATTTTTAAATTTAAATTGCGTCTTGTAATCCTGCTAAAATGTATTTTAAATTTACATTCATATTTGATTCTTATTCGGCAACGAGAATGAGCGAAGAGATGCTGAGAAGCTACATGAATTCAGATTTATGAAATCTAAACCAGTCAAACATCTGTGTACACTTACATCTGTGTACACTTATATATGTAGTGTTAATACTTAATTTATTATAAAAATCTGTCGGATTAGGAACCGTTGAAGACTATATGTTGTTATCTAATTAAAATTGGAGCTAAAAGTTGGAGCTGAAAGGGATGCGTTCATTTGTTTCACCAATCGGCTGAGTTTGGTGAATTATATTTGCATGTATTAAGTTTTATCGAAATGGATCCCTTACACCGTCTTGCAGGCAAATTTGCATAGAAATTTCATTATTAATCTGTGATTAAGACGGATCTCTACGTTAGAGACTCCCATCAATATGATAGATATCAGCATTTTATAGCCATACAAAAATAAACTGTTAGAATTTATAAATTAAATTTGGAGAATCTATTGGGTTTGATTCAAAATCCCAACAAGGTCGTATAATCTCGAAAGTTAGTCCGCATTATCTGTAGTTCTGGTTAATTTTTGTCGGAATTTACCCAGACCCTGACTGCAAAAAAAAATATATACCGGATATATGCAGTGTTAACATGTCCATTGGTTTTATTGCGCTTTTCAAATTGATGTGTCAGCTGATTTTCATACATCACACTGGGAATCAGAAATCTAGAAAAAATGCCAATATGTGATTGGCTAAAAATTATTTTTAACCAATCACTGATTTGCATTTATTCTAGATTTCTGATTTCCGGTGTGATGCATGAAAATCAAAAAATGGACACAGTAATTTGAAAAGCGCGATAATTTGACATTGGACATTCAAGATCCAATTACAAATATTGCTAATGTCAAAATCACGATTAGTATTTTCTGGCCAGCTCAATTATACCAGACCTATTACCCTGCTTGAACATACTCGCAAAATATTTACAAAGATCATTACTCATCGCTTAAACCAAATTATGAGTAGCTACCCAATACTCAACCCACAAAACTTTGTTGCACTTCCATTCACATCAACAACACAACCTATTCATATACTTACAAACATCCTGCAGGAAGTTCAAACTCAGAATAAAGAGATATGGCTTCTTTCTCAGGATATGAGTAAAGCATATGATTCTGTACATATACCGCTGCTGCAGCAAGCACTTAACCACATTCATATACCTAAATCAATACAGCAACTTATTGTCAATACATTCTCAGACTGCCAAAACTCAGTCATTACAAACCTTGGCTCGACACCATACTATGATGTACATGATGGAATCGATCAAGGAGAAACAATTACACCTCTACTCTGGCATATATATTACAATTCTCTAATTACTTACATTTCAACTAAATTCACAGGATATACTATATCTGCATAACTACCTGCTAACAACTCAGTTACTTATAATACTTCTGTACTAGCCTATATGGACGATACTCTATGGCTTACCCCCAGTAAACAGCACCTACAAAATATTGTTGATGCAGCAAATTCATTTTACAATATGTCACACATTACTGTAAATCTAGCAAAATCAGTCGTATCCACAAATAGTACCACTGACCTAATACCAACCATTTGTTTTGCAAATTCTATTATCTTTGCTATCTTCAAAAAAGATTCATTTCGCTATCTTGGCTGCTGGTTTGTTACTACTAACAGTCATAAAATCATTCACAAACAAATAATAGAAGAGGCTACTAGCCTGATAAAAACAATTAAAAGAAAAAAGATAACTGACAAACAAGCTATATACATTATTAATACAGTACTTATTCCACGATTTTCCTATAGAACACTTAATATAGTCATACATCAGAATATATGCTCAAAAGTTACAAACCAATATACACAAGTTGTCAAGCATAAAGCAGGCCTTACAACTTGCATCCCTAATGCAACAATATTTCATCATCAAATATATAGACTCTGACAACTTAATGATGTTCAAGTTCAAAACCATATATCTGCACTGCATACTCAAATCAATAATCCACTCACCAGATTATCTATTAAAATATACTTGCAGCATCTGCAAAATGCCTCTATGGCACCAACCAGTATACTACAATTTTTGCAATTTATTTTGCCTACCAAATATGATAGTATATTTATAGCACAAATGATCCATACAGCACACCAACTCAATATAGTAATTTTGAACCTATCTAATCCTTGGCCTATACCTACCAAGCATCCTAGCATAACAATTAATCAACTAATTCAGTACTGCACAAATCCTGGCCATATCAAAACCTTCACAAATCACACAAACATCTATGCAATTGAACAACTCACTAATCATACAAATACAGAACTACTTACCTGGCACCAGTTAGTCTACAAAACTCAAAAAATCATATCAGGACAGTTACCAAAGTGGTTTTTGAAGCTTCATAATACATTATTAATACTACTACACCACATATTTCAACTGTGAGTCCTAATCCATTTACCACAAATAAGATTATACCAACGCAAACAAGCTGGATACTTGGAAAATTTCAAAATATACTGATAATAGGGAAAGTTTTCAAAACCAAATTACCAAAAAACAACATACAGATCACACATTGGCTACCCTCAGCCTTAGATACTAACATATCACTACTTACTCATTGTACTTATTGTATACTAACAATAGCTATAAATACACATGGACAATGTACCATTATTATTTCTATACAACACTGCATAACAATTCAAGCTACACACTCTAAATACTTACGTACTAACATCTCTAATCTAATTTCTAACCACCCTCTTTTCAATAACATGAATACAAAAACAAACCATCACAACACCAGGCCTACTACTCTACAAAGGTCTGCACATATCACTGTTACCCCCAATCAAATATTCACACAGGGACCTATCCAAGCCCGTCTAGATCACCTCGCACAAATCAATTCACAAGCCTCAAAACTTTGCTTTTATATATATGCTATATACACCAATATAAATTCTCCATGCTCATCTGCATCATTTGCCTGGATACTTACTCCAACTAACATATCATTTGCTGCAAGCATCACCTTTTGGCCATCTAAAACCAGAGTATATCTTGTCGTATAATTTCTATACTAGCTATAGCACCACCAGATTGTTACATCACAATTCTAACTTCACACTCTCCAACAATTAATATAATAAACTCAGTTCTACAAACTACATCCAACCTTAATCTAAGAATACAAAAACAAAACTTTTGGCCACTCAAACAACTCATATACACCATTATTGCACGAAAAAATATTACAATTAAATTTACTTTGATTGAAGCTAAGTCAAAACCTCCATTATTTCAACGCACAATACAGAACGCTACATCAACACAACCCAATAAAATTGAACTTATTCTGCATGCACTTGACCACAATAACTTCTTTATAAGCTGGAATAGCACAATTGTTGAACATAAAACCTGCAGATTCATCAGACATCTACAAAATGCAAACAACATAGCCAAATGGCACTCCCTCAACAAAGCTCAAACTTGGAACCAGATATGACAAAATACAGATTAGAAACTACTACACAACTTCATAAACTATGATAATAAGCCAAATACTCGGTTTACACACCCTAAACTATCAAAAATCAAAAACTTCAAAATTAAGTTTCTTCTTAATGAACTATCTACACTCCTAAACTTACACTTCCGGCATCCCAAAACCTATATTAATCCAACATGCAAGAGGTGCAATGCTGATATCGAAAATAATACCTATTGGCCTATATGTGATAAAAACCAGACTACTATATATCAGTTAATTCATGAAACTATCACTAAATTCTTAAGTAAACAAAAGATACACCAACAAGCAGCCTCCATAATTTTACAGAGGTTCTTTACAGCTCCCAACAATACTTTCTCTATAACTGCAATACAAGGTTTCGCTCCATCTAATATTCAGGAGATTACTACCTTATCTAAGACCCAATATATACAATTATTGCACAAGATTTCTAAAAACATATACAAAACAATCTGGCAAGCATGATGTATTGCAATACATCAGCAGCAAACAACAACTAACCCACTTACTATACCACCCCCAGAACACCCACCCACACTACAATATAGTATAGCAAAATTCAATAGATGGGCAACTATTTTCCCTACCACTAACATATCTACATCTTACATTGCTACTATAAATCTAGATGAGGTCTGTTAGCCTACTCTAGTAGAGTTTTAGGCTGAGGATAAAGTAGTCCTAGCTGTAGGTCCCTGTAGTAATTCATTCTACAAATGTAGAAAACATAAATTATTCAATAAAGACCGAGGCCA